AGATGCCAGGCACAAATCATCAGCCTGGGAACAGCCCAGAATAGCATGTGACTAATTTGTCTCCCCCACTCCCCCCACTCCTGCCACCACAGCAGGACACCAGCCTTCCTTCCCTGGCTGGATGTGCCTGCGGGCAGCCCTGGCTCAACCTTTCCCATTGCCAGTCCAGGGGACACTCCTGGGGCTGAATATCAAAGACCTCCTGCAAATGTCAGCCAAAGAGCATAAATAAAACCTAAGGAGAAGTCACAGCAGTTCCCACAACAAGAAGCTACCAGTGGTTAACAAAGGACAAAAGCAAATAACTGAGCCCCCAGTTCCTTCCATCGGCACCACCCTGGAGCAGGAGGCTGTCCATCGCTGCTGGAATCAAAGCCTTCCTCTCCATTGTTTCCCCAGCAGCAAAGACAGCCTGTGACCCTCTGCCACTGCAGAGCTGGATGAAAGCAATCCAGGGCCCCACACAACGGGACCCAGGGCTCCTGCAGCTGCTGTGTCTGCCCCATGGAGCTGCAGCAAAGCCCCTCTCCTGAAGCAGCAGGCAGAGACAGGCTCGCTGTGTCCTGTCCCAGCCCTTCCCTGCTGGAGCACAGCTGCTTTGCTGCAGGCTCAGGAACATCCACAGCCCAGCACAGCTCCTCCAAAGAGATGTTCACAATCCAATGAAGTGTTGCTACTCCAAAATCCTTGTCCTCGCAGATACCTTAACCTGTCCTTTCAACACACGTAAGAGGGCCGAGTCCTGTGATGGATCCCATGTAGCGACTCCAGGAGCATTGCGTTTCCATGCTTCCCTGGCTATGTAGCACTAACCAGCTGGAACTATTTACCATCCTCTCCCTGTTTAACACACATTTCTCACTGCTCCTATTCTTATACTCCTCCCTCAACAACTCCTGGAGGTCACTTCCAGAACCAGGCTGGAGAAACCTTTGATCCAATACAGCTTTATGTTTATTAAGGGAAATTAATGACTGAGTCTGGATGAAAACTATTCTCACTTAATCACCTTTATGTTGTCTTGTCTATATGAAGAGTTTGGCCACATGACAACAGTGGTGCCAACAGCCCACTGGTGTCCCCATCTACCTCTGCAAGGCTGCAAATCTCCTCTGCATCATCCACACCACCAGGAACTTGTTCCAACACAGACTCCATCAATGGCAATAATTACAATAAGGCCCAAGGAGAAAGTAGCTATTGAATAAGGAATTAAATCTCCATTTACCTTTACCAGCAAAAGCAAGGTTTACCATGCATGGACTGTCTTTAGGGGAGATTCATAACCTAAATGGGGCTTTTCATGAGAAATCCACTTAGTATTCCTCTAAAATGCCAGGGGGGTGAAATCCCCCACTCCTTCATCTCATTAAGGATGAAAGAATGCCAGGTATGTGGCAGGAATCTGGGGTGAGAGGAGTGGGGTATATTTTAGTCAAGCTGTAGAGTGGAAAAAATAAACTGATCTGAGGATGAGGATATGAAATGTATTTCCCAGAGCGGAGAAGCAATGCCAGCCAGCAATGCCATCATGGTAATGCACATGCTTAAGCCAAGGGACACGAAACTAAGTTCAAAGGTGACAAAAAAACCCCCAACCCTGCCACATTTAGAAATCAAAGGTGCTTTTCCTAAAACCAGACAAGCTATGCAAGATGTTGTGCAAGAAGCTCTCTAACAGGTCAAACCCAGCGCTGGCAGCTGGCATCGACCCTGTGACAGCCCTCCTGCTGCACACAGTGGAACCCCAGGGACATGTCATTGTGGATATGTCCAGGAAAACAGTCTGGGACCTTCTTAGGGCATTTTGCCTCTGGAGCACCGACAGTGTTTAGCTGATGGCTTCTGGATCAGGTGGATTTATCTAAGTGCAGCAGATGAAATGCTGGAAGGCCGCTGGTGCTCAATGTGAGAGGGATGACAGGGAGGTCACTCCCAAGGAGAAGGGGCCTGTGTGCCCCAGGGGACTTCTGATCATTCTAGCATCACCTGAGTTATTTGTAAAATTGTGTGAAGGAGCCCTGTGAAGCCCCCAAAGCAGAGCAGGAAGAGCAGACCAATAGAACTGTTTCTTACCTGGATGCAGTTGGGTTGCTGTTCAAACACAGAAACAAGTGTCAGTGAGGCAGATCAGTTTTATCTATTACCATTCTCCTTTGAAGAGGGCAACAATGCCGCAAAGAACACAATCTCTGCATTAAAACCCTTATTGGAAAGATAAGACTACCCAAAAATTGTTTGCACAGACTGAACTTTCTTCCAAGCAAGCTCAGACAAGGCAGCCAGTCCCCAGCCTCTCATGCTTGTACAGGACAGGGAGTGAAAGGAGCCTGAAGAACTCTTGGCAAATCATGCTCAGAGTTTGAGCCATTTAAAACTCAGTTTTGTTGAAGCTGCTGCTCAGGGACCAGCTCGCTCTCTGCACAGAGCAGTGGGAGTGAGCACTGGGAATCAGCACAGCTGCTCTGTGCCTGACGTACCCAACTGGGGTGGAAATCCCACCATATGACTCTGGGGATAATGTTAAATCCATTACAGCATTCTCCCCTCCCCTGCTCATCCCACACAGGCTTCAAAACTTGTGGTTTATGACTGGCTGCTAGAGGATCATTGCAGGCTGTCTCCAGAGGGATAATCCTAAATTTTAAGTGACAGTTCATGGGCATCTTCTCTTTTTTCTGAAATGCTGTCTTACATCACATTAAGTATTTCAGAGATTAATAACTGGAGCAGAGAGTTCTAATCTTGGTGTCCTAGCAGAGATTTAGCAAAGAACGGCTCGTGTTTGAAGTTACTGTGGCACAGGAAACATAAGAAGCCTTGAAGCCTAAAAGCGAGGCTTGTCAGCAGCTCAAACAGAAATCTGGGACGTGGAACACGTGATGGATGTTGAGTCTCCTGGGCTCCTCACTGACGTCGTGTTTCCACCCGGAGCAGGTCTTAGGGACCCTGTGAAAGGTGGGACCCAGTTTGAGCTCTCTTTTAAATAGACCAAACTCACCACTCCTGTTAAATTGCAACTTGTACTTTTTGTATTCTTTGACCTGAATTAGGTGATAACTGAATTGTATAATATGGCTACAGTTGTTTTGAACTTAATATACTGAGGACCAAATGGGAACCACTTGACCATCTCAGGACTGGCAATTGCACTTGGTCAGCTTGTGGGACACCTACCAGGATAAACACAGCACAGATTCCACGGCTGCTGGCACAGCAGCTCACTCAAAAGCAGCCCTACAATCACTTGGCAAAGGCCCTCACAGCATCACTTCAAGTTTCCTGTCCACAGAAGCATTATTTTTCCTCCTAGTGCTCCTCACACAACCAGAAGTCCCATTAAAAAGGAGCCAAGCAGGTGCCTATTCCCTGCTCCCCTCTCAGGTGGCAGAAGCCAATGCACAGAAGACACAGTCCAAACCCTTTCAGTTTTGGAGAGCCCTGTGCCAGTTAGTTGAACAAATTCTTCTGCACATGGGTATGAGAAAACCTTGCCACAAGTGTCACAGTGATGAAGCTCCAGAAGAACTCCACCAATATCATAAAAAATAACACCTTTGTGCCCTCCTGCAATCAGTACCACACACTCCTTCCACTTGAATAGTGCCAATGCTCATGTAGTACCACAGCCAAATCATTACCAGGGAACTGAACTTAAATGGTAAAATTAATCCCATTCTGCAATGTTCACACTTTTCATGATGTTACCCCAAGCAACTGAATGCCCACTAGCACACTCAGAACAGCCTGTGACCATGATCATGTCATCCAACTTCATTACTTTCTTCAGCTATTGCGGAGATAAAGTAAAAAATGAACAGCTAATATTCAGGAGATCATAAAATTATGCTTCCTTAAATCTGTTTAAGCAGCTGCTCTGGCATCTCTGTACAGAATTAAACAGCTCTACTTTGAATTAATGCAAGAGAAATGTCTGGCTCAATTTAGCCAAACATTTAGAAGTCACATAATCATCCACTACGGATGCCCTTTCAGGCTTTCACCCTGTAACAGTTTTATGTACAAGACACATCTATTTGGTAGCCAACACCAAGTATCAGAACAGATTTCCATACCTTGAGTAGCCACTCTGCCTAAAGTAGCTAAAGATGTGTCAGAAAGGGGTCAAATAGCAATGGGACATCATTTACTCCACTCCAGGTCACTGAAACTGAGATCCGAAAAGACATGTTGGGGTGTAACTTTGCCCTGTTTCAGCACAGCACAGTTTTTCCACATTCTTTACAACCCATAGAATTCCCTTAATGGTCCTGAAAACTGCCTCCAGGCAGCCAGGGATAGGATTAATAGTCCAAACCTGAGATCACCTGGAGGCACAGAGCTGCCTTGCCCTCCTGTCCTGCCCAACAGCCTGTTAGGAAAAGGCCAGAGGCCCACCAAGACCTGTGTCCCACCTGAGTGACCAGTGCTGGGTGCCACAGGAGCTGTATGAGAGCAGGTCTGCAACAACCCCTCCCTCACATGCTCTCTTGAAGAACACGCACTACAGCACCTCAATGCACAGGTGAGACCTCAGTGTTTGACCACAGACTTCTGGGTAATACTTTTGGAATTCAAAAATGTGCATATTGCATCCTGTGGCAACAACTTCAGCATCAACAAGCACCTGATGTCCTTTGCTTTGAATCTGCCAGGTGACAACTTATCTTGATGCTCTGCAGCCCTTAAGGACAGTAAATCATCACGTCTACACCTTTTTATACCAGTGATACGATCTGGTTATTTTCCCTATAGTCTTACCTTTTCCAGCTTTTGCCAAAGGGATGGAGTTTCCTCAGGTTTCAGTTCAACATTAAGTATTGACTATTCTTTTGGGAATGCAACTGCAAGTTGTTCAGTGCAACAACTGAATCCTCAGTCAAATTTAAGCTGGAATACATTGTACACCAGGACAGGGGTCTGGCTGCAAACCTGCGTTTGTAAGCAAGGTACAGCCAATGCTGTAGTCTCTAAAGAGTCAAATCGCTGAAACACATAAATTAGCGGTAAAGCAAAAAGTTTGCTTTATTGCTAAATCAACTTTTGATCAAACAGTCCCATCAAAGAGCTGCCCTGCTCAGCACTACTGCTGTAAAACCACTCCAGGGCTGCACAAGACCTGGCAGTCCCTCTGGACTGTGCTTTATGGAAGGTTGTGTCTTTATGTGACCAGTTCTCCAGTTTCAACCAAGTCATCGATATCATCACTGACATCAATGAAACCACCTACTGGGTGGTGCTTTAGCAGAACGCCTGTAGCACGAAGGAGATCGAACAGGCCATAGAGCAGGAGAGAAGGCCAAGCTCAGCCCCTCGGTCCTGCCCGACATGTCCCGACAGAGGATCGCTGCAATGAGCAAGGGGGACCCCTGCTGGGCTGCCTTGGTCCATACAGCCCCGCTGCGGGATCAAGAAATAAAACCAGTATAAAACCAGGACATTTAATAAAATTTTAAAAACCTGTAAAACATACACTCTCAAAACCCCCTGAGTCTTACTACGAGACTGCAGATGGTGTTTCCTCTCTCCATGCTGCTGTGCGTGAGCAGCACCGAGCGCTCTGCGAGCACTCCAACCATGCCAAGTGACAGCCAGCATGGCCTGTCCTCCTCCTTCTCCAAGGGCCTGGATGGAGTCCCAGTGCTCCCGAGCACCAGGGACGAGGTGTGCCCTCCTGCACACCTGGTCAGTGCCAAGGACAGGGCTATCCCTGCTCCCCTGTGCCTGAGGCCAGTGTTCTGGGCGCCGCCACCTCTGCTGCCCGTGGGGCCTGCTTGGGAAGGCGAATGGGGACATAGACATTGGAAGCACAGTGTTCCTTGAGGTATTCTCCCCCTTTTTCTTCATAGTCCTTCTTGGTTATCCAGCCTTCCTCACGGTTCATGTATTCCACTGCCCAGTCCCTAGCCCCATACCAGGCATCCAAAACAGGGCTGGAAGCAAGGTGAACCTGATGGAAGGAAAATAGAATAGCAATGTCAATTCAGCACAGGAGAGAAAGGCCTTTTTACCCTGATTGCAGAGATAAAGGCCTTTTTACCCTGACTGCAGTGGTAAAGACAAACCACTGAGCTTCACAAGTCTGAGCTGATTACTCAGTGTCTCTGGGGAAGAATAGGAAGTTAGGAAAGAGTTTGAAGTGCATTTTCACCTTGGAATCAATTCCTAAGAAATCAGTCTGAAAACTTCCAGCCAAACATGCTTCTGTGTGCTCGGTCCTTTAGCAGAAGCAGATTTTCCTGTTCCAAGGCATCTTCCCTACTCTTTCTACTGACTTCAGAAAGAGCAACTGTATCTTTGCTTAACTTGCACCTTCTCAGGTCAAAACAGCTGTCTGCAGTGTCTTGTCATAAAACACTCCATTCCCATGCTCTAAGGACACCTGCTCTGCACCTCACCCAACCCCAATGACTTCTGAACCCAAATCAACAAGTTGATCACACAAACATAATGTCAACACACACACACCTGAAAAGACGACTGGAACGGCCTCATTTCCAGGAGTTCCTTCTGGACTCTGGCTTTCAGTCCAGGGTACATCATATTTCCACCAGTGAGAAAAACATTCTGGACAAGAACAGCTTGTTGCTCCTTTGAGTACCTACGAGGAACAAAAACAACTTCAGCCTTTCTCAAGGACATCTTCCCTGTGAACTGTAACAGCTCTGAGGGGTACTAATACCTTGCCTCAGGATTAACGGAGAAACTTCCTTCATTTTCCTAGCATGAAAAACTCTGTTTGTTTTCTGGAAATTCAAGGGGTGGCAGAAGAAAACCCTGAAAGCACTCAGTGGACTGTACTCCATAAATCAACAACAGAATTTCTACCTTCTTTCTAGGGCCGGAATTCTTACCTTTCAGAAAATGCAATCTCCTGTGTTCATACAGTTCAGGGGCGAAATCTTGCCAGTGCTAATTTGTCTGGAAATGTCCAGCAAGTGTGCGCATATCATAACTTTAAAATGTTACCCCTGATTTTGGTCTCCCAAAACCAGAGACTGCCAGCTCACTGTTGCATGGGATGGATATTTACAAGGGTTTGTTGTTTCCCTCTGTAACAAGTTGGACCAGGGATCTCCAAAGCAGGATCTGTGCAAGACAACCCAGTGGGGTGCAGGAAGAAGGTATTTTTTTGTACCATTAATAAATAAATTTAAATAGTGTCTATTTCACCTTTATCTCATCCTTTTAAATTTTTATTTTTGTGTATGTGTTAAAATGTTCACAATATATCAGTTCAGTAGTACCTGTATGTAATTTATAAAGACATATCTATTAGAGGTGTGTGCTCAAAAATTTTTCACTGATGGGGTAATTGATCAAAAAAATTTATAGATCCACTGACTTAAGACAAGCAGAGTTACCTGTGACTTTCAGAACATGAAGACATGTCTATTCTGCAGTGCTCCACCCCGCCAAAAAGAACTATTCCAACACATTTTCTCAAATTATTGCTAAATAAGGAGTATTTCAAAAGCTGATATCTGAAGTAAGCAGGTTTGTAAACTTACCTCTCAAGGACATATTGCATGGTTTCTGCTATACCAGCCTGATCTTCTCCTATTAGGGAGGGCTGGAAGACAATCTCTGGAGCCCTGATTCTTTCAGTGCCAAGGAAAAGCTGGTGGTACTCTGCCAGGTTAAACACGGGCTTTGAAAAGATGAGATTGAGAAGTAGTGGGTAATTATGTTAAAGAACAGTAATATTCTAGAATAAGAAAAGTTTCCAAACAATTCTGTACAAAAAGCAGATGGTAATGCTCTCATAAAGAGAATGATGTAAAAGGTTCCAGAAGACCAAGGAAGCTGGACTTTTCCTATAATTTACTCTCCATTGTGCCACTGAGGCTCTACCTCACAAGTTGGAAGCTGTGTCCACTGGGATGAGATATCATTTATGGATCACAGACAAAAAAACCTTGAGCAGGACTTTTTTTTCCTAATAACATGGCACTGCTACAACAGACATTGCCTGCAGAGTGAACCAAGTGGGTATATTCATGGTCTAAACCACCAGCTAAGACTGCAAGGACTTCTCCTCTCAATGTCCTGCTCAGGTAGTTTAAGAATCTCTTCCAAGAGCAGACAAACAGTGTTTGCATTGGGAAAAATGTTAGCAAACCTGCTGGACAACTGGGATGCAGAAACCTCTGGCACGAGGTATAGACATAGAAATCAAACCTGTACTGCAGCAACAGGCTTCTCAACTTCAGGCTGTTCCTCAGCAAACAAAGGTTCAAATTCATTAATACTTTCCATATCCTCCAGTGACTGTTCACTGCCCAATGGATCCAAATCAGGAGTCTGGAAACAGAGAAGGTGTATTACGGGAGGTAAGGTCAGGTGTGCTGGGCACACATGTGACTGCAATTCACGTGTCACATTTGGAAAACTCAGGGCCAATTTCCTCAAATCTCAACTTTTTAACATGCCTGAAAACAAATATGCACAGAAAGAAGTTAGGACAGACATTCACTCAAAGCACAAAAATCAAACACTTCCAATAAATTTGTCACAATGCTAGCTCAAAAATCAAGGCCTTAGTCTGCCAGGATCCCAGGCAGCCATGTCCTAAACATAACATATTAAAACCTGGTAAAATAGCTTTTTATACTGGTGAAAACTTGGTGCTCTCCCAGCATCTCTAACTGCACTATAATTACCATTAAATTCCCTGTTTTGTTTGTGTGGGACTGGAAAACAAATATTTGCTAGCTACAAAGCCACCATACAATTTCTGACAGTTTCAACCACCTACCATTTGCTTATGGGATGCACCAAAACCCTTTATATTTTACACAGATGTGAAGCACTTTCCTAATGAAAAGCATCACTCAAAATCCTACAGGACTCCTGTTGTGAGCTTGCAACAGCATCTTAATTATCTTCTTTATTTTTTGTGTTACAATATTACCTTTTGGATTTTGTTGCTAAATATTTATTTTGGTTATTTTAAACTTGAAATATTTGCTGCAACGACTAGAAAGCTCATCTAGCAGGATGAGCTAAAACTAGATCCTTTAAACATTCTTAAGTATCTATTTTATATTCACTTAAATAGAAGCAATTACTCAAACTGAAGTTTGAGCAGAGTTCATTGTCACAGCAAACAAATGCAGTCACCTCAAGTTCTCTCCACCACTTATGCTTTGTTAAATCCATTTCTTTTTACATCCTAAAAAAAACCCCAAAACAAACCAAAACCAGAAAGAAACACTGAATTCTGCTGGAGACTTGGCACAGACATTGGGACAACATAATTAGCTTTTAGACTCCTTTACATGCGAGAAGGATGGCCTGTCTAAAAAATGGATTTGGTGATAATTGTAGGTGCTCTCACAAGGCAAAGACCAAACAAAAAGACTTGTGGATTCATTTCAAGGTCTGTGGTTACACCTAGTAAAGAGAAGGAGTGTGGGATCCATGCTGGAACTTAGGCATAACCACTGAGCAAAATTACAGGAAACTGATAGTCTTTCAATTATCTTCTTTCTAGAACAATTTCTCTTGATAGAAGGCAGAAGGCAGAAGGATGTTTTACCAAAATGGTAAGCCCATCATCTCCCTGAATTTTGCTCAAACACAATCATTTTGATTGTTACACAAACTCTACTGATAATCACAGAATCCCAAAATGGTTTGGTTTGGAACAGACCTCAAAGCTCATCTCATTCCATCCCCCTGCCCTGGGCAGGGACACCTTCCACTAGACCAGGTTGTTCCAAGCCCCATCCAACCTGGCCTTGAACACTTCCAGGGATGGGGCAGCCACAGCTTCTCTGGGCAACCTAAATATGGATCTCTCCTCTATGCTTCAATTTTCTGTTTTTCTCTCTGTCTTTCTTCCTGAGCAAAGGCTGCCATAACTAAAAAAGCTCTGTTTTATGTGACTTGAAAGGCAATTATAAGCACATGCACAAACACCTTAGACCACCTCTTAGAAACAGCTGCTGTGTGCTAGGCCTGTGTTAGTCTGGCAAAGCAGACAAACAAGCTTCTCATCTTCAAGACAACTCCAACAACCAAGTGTAGCAATTAACCTTTCATTAAGTAAACAAAACAGAACAGACTGCCTAATTGCACCAAAAAAAGCCAGCATGAAAGCAAAAGGTTGGTTGTTTAACCATAAAGTTCTCTGCACCTGAAAGGGAAGAACAGAAAGAAAAACAAATACTGTTTTTAAGAAAAAGCTTGATGGGTTCTTCTATATCATTAATAGAAGGCTACTAATAATTAAGGATAGTTGTCTCAGGATATTCTCTCTGAAAAGAGAGAAGCAGTTGCCAACTTGACAATGACTTGCAGCATGTTAAAAGCTTAGTTCACCACTAGAAGACTGAAGGGACACATTTTCAAGCACAGAAATTTAATTCTCTCAGAGATAAGATAGGGATTAACTTGGTCAAAACATCGTACCTCTGGCTTGCTGTCCACAACATCTACTTCAATATTGACTTCTGACTGTAGGATTTTCTGCTTTGTTTGTTCAACAGACACACTCAATTTGTTGATGTAAGACTGAAGTTCTTCTGCAGAGTCCATGTTCAGCTCCACCAAAGCTTTGTGGAATTGATCCATCTGACCATCTTCTAAAAGTTCCTGCAGACAGATGAGATGTGAATGACCAAGACAGGGTAATCACAACTATCTGTCAACTGTGCGTGCACAGACACTCTGCTTTCATTACTAGATATTACCATGTACACACTTTGGCAGCATTCAAAATATTTCCCAAACAAAGTGCTGTTCAGAACCTGAAAGCACCCTCTGCATCAGTAGTCTCTCCCTGTTATCTCACAAGTAACCTTGGCAAGCTCCTATCAGAAAACACCCAGGACAGCCATAGGTTCTTTGCAATGACACGTGACCTTCTGATACAGCTCCAATGGCAGCCTGCTCTCCTCCCAAAATATCACATGAAAACTTTGCCTTGGTTACCTGTACATACAGCAACCTGTCCAGCCTCTCCTGGTCAAGCTGCAGCTTCTCTTCTCGACGACGTGCATTGAGTTCCTGAAGCCGCCGCAACTGCTGCTGCCTTTTCTCCTGCTTTTCCTCAGATGTCAGAGTGCTCCCCAGCAGCTTGTTGGAGAAAGGCAGCTGCATCTTGTGCACATTGTTCTCATAGTACTCTGGGCACCGCCACTTCTGGAGCTCTGCGTGTTTTGAAAGCAAGATAACTGTTTTGTCAGCTGAAGACAATGATTCATATGTTGTACACACTCCATGCAGAGGATGAAAGGTGATGAAAGAAGGCAGAAATAGTCCAGCCTAAAATTTTGTCACCTCTTGGCAGCTGCCCCCATGCTTGGCTACTCCCTCTGAGTGCTACCCTCTGGTCACATACTCAGTGCAGGTGCTTCTTCATGCTCTGATCTCCAGGAAACACAAAGCACTAACAAGTGGAAGTGCACACTAAAGTCTCTTCTCTCCTTCCAAGAGGAGCTCTCACACATTTTTAAGGACTCCTGCAGGCTCCTTCACAAGTGACAAATTTAAGAACACACTTCTCTTCAACCACTACTTCAGATGACACTTACCATGAAAATTGTAAAACTTACGGAATTCACAAAAAGTCACGACAAATGTCCTCTGCAATTTTGGAAACCTTAATGCCGATAAGAAATGCAGCTAGACGTAGAAATCCTAACCAATTTAAAGGGGTTTTAGAAGTATAAAGTAAATAATAAGCTCATTTTAAATTATTGTCCTCTGAAACAATCCCAATTTTTATTCACAGATAAATTTGAATTAATACAGATTATTTTTGGTAGTAGTTCAATTTTATTTCTTAATTTTAAATTTGAAACCATTGTTAAGCATGAGGCAGGTTACAAGAAAGACAGCTACAAAGATAGCAATACAGTGGTAGAGTATTTCTGGTAGAATCCCAGCCAACTTGATATCCCAAAACAAGGGATACAGACGACAAACTAAGTGTGGATGAACACTATCTGGCAGTAAATTACTCTGATTTTACCTTCTATGTAGTCCTCTGCAATGTAGCTGTGCTCGTGCAGGATTTCCTCCATCCGGCTGAGCGTGATGGCTGCGAAATGCCCGGGATATTTGAGCTGCAGGAGCCGCTGCAGGTACACGGCAGCCTGGCACCCCCCCAGGTTGATGCGCTTGCAGTTCTTGGCATCCAGCCTCAAAATGCAAAGAGACACAGCTCAGACTGGAGAAATCCACAAGAAATCCACACAAAACACGCCTCCTGCTTACTTCAGTATTATTTAATTTCTCATACGGACAAGTAGACAGATGAATATTCATAGATAAATATTTCAAGATTCAGTTACCACAGAACCTAACACACCTGCTTTTCTCAGACAGCATAATCACTGCTGTGTTTACTGCAGATATTTTCTGAAAGGCTCAGTTCTGCTTTAAAAAAACCCCAAATATTAAATAATTCTAACAAGGGAAGTGACAGTTAGCAGAGCTAAAAGTAGTTCTTTAACCTTTGCAACATTTTACAGTTGGCCAGGTGTAACCCTTGAAAACATGAAGCATTTATCAGATCTAATAAAGCCATTGCCTGCAGTAGTGATTCAAAAAAAAGAAGAAAAAGAAAAAAGAGAAAGTAGAGCAATGTAGCTGAATAACTAGAATGATAAAAGCCTCAAGAACTGCAGAACTCTCACAAGGCACTTTATTTTGTCCCAAAGCTGCTTTAAAACCTATGTTTTTTAATGCCTGATTTCACTTGGAGCAGATATCCCCTTCTACTTTTGAAAGTAAAAATTTTGGCATGAGTAGCAACTAAAAATACAAAGACAGTACTGTTTCTTCAATTCAAAATTCAACAGAACCTAGTAAAATCTGCAGGCCTGGTTTTAAGTCATCAGTATAAATTAAGACCTGGTAGGAGTTAATACTGCAGGGCTGGAATACTCAGTGCTGGAAAAATGGATAGTTGCACCACTTGAAAAGCCAATGCCTGACAAAGAGAGGCTGCACTTAAGACACCAAGAACTCACCTGCCCTCTAAGACTGGCAAAATGTGTGTACACTGATATCCTGAGGATATCACCAAACCACTGCAGGGCCACTTCTGCCTCCTATTGTGGTAAAAACTGTACAGGCTGTCCACACCATAGGACACTTTCGGCACTTGATAGCACTCAAAGAGGAGCTCGGACATCATTTGCCTTGAATACAGAGGGTTGCACACTGCTTCTGTCAGAACAATTGGGTGATCAACACAACCCTGGAAGAGACAAGGGAAAAGAATAATAACAAAGGTATGAAGGGAAAACACAATCATCCCTGCTTCTTCTTTTGAACACCAGCAAGAACTCCTTCAAAACAGCCACGAGAAAGCACTTTATGTGCAGGCTATTAATCACGTAAAATCACGTAAGCTAAATTATATCTAGTGCTTAAAGGGGAAAAAAAGATGTTAATGTTAATTCAACCAAAGAATAAATTCCTAATGGTGGAGGAGAATGGACTTTTAAAAGCATATACAAATCATTAAAAATCTAAGTAACCAAAATCCATGCAATGAGAAGGTGAAGTGCGAGAGAAAACCACTGGAAGTTTAGTTCAACATTGGGTAAAGTTTTCATACTTGTGTTGTCATGCAGGCAAAAGGCTCCATGGCCTGAGGATCAACTCTCAACGTAGCTGGAAGTACAGGTGGTCAATAAGCCCTACTAATAAGAGCCCTACACAACACCAATAATGTTTATGTCCTTCTCAAAAGCTGATCCTGGATGCAAGTTCTCAGACATGATCTGACAGGACACTGCAGTCCAAGCCTTTCACTCTGCAGCTGAATCCTCCCCTTCTGCTTCACCACAAAACCATGAAGAAATTAACAGCATAACATAGCAGAGCTTCGAATACCCCCCTGGGGCACACCTTGCCCAGCCAGGTTCACCTCACTGTCTACCCAGGCTGTGACTATCTGTGAGGAGGGGGACAACATATCCCAGGAGAGCCAGAGGAAATTCTAGACCTCCAAATTCCTACTATGGACCAGCCACAACCTCCCAGAATCCCAGAATGGTTCAGCTTGGAAGGGACCACAGTGGGTTATCTGGTCCAACCTCCCTGCTCAAGCAGAGTCATCCCAGAGTACACGGCACAGGATTGTGTCCAGATGATTCTGGAATATTTCCAATGTGGGAAACTCCACAGCCTCTCTGGTCAATCTGTTCAGTGCTCGGTCACTGCTCAGTAAAGAAGTTCTTCCCCATGTTAAGGTGGAATCTCCCCCTCCACCCAGACCCCCCATCCCTGGGGCCGGCCCTGAAGGAACTTATAGGAAAGATGAGGCAAGACTATTTACAGAAGCCTGGAGTGACATGGCAAAGGGAAATGGCTTCAAATTGAAAGAGAGTAGGGTTAGATTAAATATCAGGAAAAAAAAATTCTTGCCTATGAGGGTGGTGAGGCCCTGGCACAGGTTGCCCAGTGAAGCTGTGGCTGCCTCATCCCTGAAAGTGTTCAAGGCCAGGTTGGACGGGGCTTGGAGCAACCTGGGCTAGTGGAAGGTGTCCCTGCCTGTGGCAGGGGGTGGAACGAGATGAGCTTTAAGGTCCCTTCCAACCCAAAGCATTCCACGATTCCCGGGCGGCTCCAGCCCCGGCCCGGCGTTACCTGCGAGGAGACGCCGAGGCGCTGGAAGACGTGGTCCAGGAGCAGCTCCTGCAGCTCCAGCTGGACGGGCACGTTGCGGTCGAAGGGCGAGCGCAGCAGCCACCGCAGGGGCTCGGGGCTGCCCAAGTCGTTGCCCACCTGGGTCTCGGCGCCGGCCCCGCCGCGGGCCCCGCGGCTCCGCGCCGCCAGCGAGCGGAACCGCAGCAGCGGCTCGGCGGGCACGGCGGGATCCGGGCAGCCCCATCCCGCCCGCGTCTGGAAGGAGCCGTTGTCAATGACCAGCGGCACAGGCTGAGGGCTCCGCACGGCCGCGCTCGGAGCCAGCACCGGGTCCGGGGCCCAGCGCGCGTCCCGGAACGCGAACACCCGTGTGGGCGCCGCCATGGCGGGCCCCGCGTCCGGCCGGGAACGCGGCAGCGCGCGGGGGTTCCGGGACCGCCGCCGCTACGAAATGTCAGAATTACCTTATTATCTTAAATCAGGGCGTTCCTTGGTATGAGATCTTTGTGTGCTTTCGAGCCTAATCAGCAAGGAAGGAGACCTGAGCAGTGGGACAGGCAGCAGCCAGCACAGAATCATAGAATGTTAAGGATTTGGAATGGACTTTAAAGATCATCCTAGCACACCCCCTGCCATGAGCAGCGACACCTTCCACTAGCCCGGGTTGCTCCAAGCCAGTTCCAACCTGGCCTTGGACACTTCCAGGGATGGGGTGTTCTTGATGATCCTTGTGGGTCCCTTCCAATCCAGAATATTCTGTGATTTTGTGAGTATTTAATCTAAACCTGTACCAGTGTCTTACCACCCTCACAGTAAATAATTTCTTCCTAATATCTAACCCAATTTTCCCCTCTTTCAGTTTGTACCCATTACTCCTTGTCCTGTTGCTACAGTTCCTGATGAACAGTCCTTCTCTGGCTTCCCTGTAGGCCCCCTTCAGATACTGGGAGGTTGCTGTGGGTCCAGGACAGGCCACAAAGATGATGAGGGGTCTGGAGCATCTCGCTAATGTGGAAAGACTGCAGGAGCTGAGTCTGTTCAGTCCAGAAAAGACTGCGAAGGGATCTCATTAATGCACATAAATATCTCCAAGGCAGGTGCCAAGAGGATGGTGCCAGACTCTGTTCAGTGGTGCCCAGCAACAGGACGAGGAGCAATGGCCATAAACTAAAACACAAGAAGTTTCACCTCAACATGAGGAAGAACTTCTTTCCATTGAGGGTGGCAGAGCAATGGAACAGTTGCCCATGGAGGGTGTGGAGTCTCCCTGCTCCAGGTGACCCCGCCTTCGTAGGGGTTTGGACTGGATGATATCCAGAGATCCCTTCCAACCCCAGCTATTCTGTAATTCCGTGAAAGGAGACCTAATCAGTGGAACGGGTAGCAGGAACATCGCCTCTCATTGACATTCTGGAACTACCAAGCTTTAAGGATGTAGTAAATCAAGATGTTGATGTATGTCTATGTATACACTGCTAACTCAGCAAAATACTCAAGGTTCATGTGCCCTATAGCTGAACTATCTTCATTGTAATACTAAAAAACATACCTACACGTCAAAAATACCCCTGCCCAGGTGAAGACCCTTCCCCGAGCATGTGGAGAAGTTATCTGGGGTTACATAACTCGTATGGAAATTACTAACCAATCATAATAGGGCATCTGTACTTGGAAAGTTACTAACTCTGAATTAAAATTAATTATAAATAAATAAATAACAATTATAAATAAATAAATTATAAAAAATTAATTATAAAGAATGCCACAGAAAGTCCAGTGGGGTGTGCTGGATTTGTGGAACACACTGAGCACCCAGGCTTGCACAGCTCTGAAATAAATACTCAGTGTCTCTCTCAAATGTGTAATGGTTGTCTTGTTGCACACCTGGTAAAGAATCCAATTTTGTGGACAACACCACCATCTCACAGGGTGGGCTGTACCCCATCTCACTTTCACACAGAGACTGCCATCCTTTAAACCTGGACTGTGAAACCTCCCCAGTGTCTGCATGGAGGTGAAACCCCGTGGCTCTGGGCTGTGCCACCCACCCGGGAGGTCACTGACACAGCCCAGGCATCTCCCTGCTGAGAGACTCACTCCTGTCCCACCAGCCTCTCCAGAGATATGGGAAATAGTGAAGGCATTTCCCCCTTATTCTCACTCCCCCATTCCCCAGGGAGGTGGGCTCACAGGATGGGATTAATCCTGCCACAAAGACAAGGGGTCCCAGGCTGGCTCAGCTCGGTGAGAGCCTGTGTGGACACCACGGGGTCCTGGTGACGTAAGAGAAACACTTTAGCACTAAAATGAAACACATCACAGCTTCAGGATTCAGCTCCTTTCCACCCATTTTGGCACTGCATCTGTAGACAAATCACAGACAGCCTGGTTTTCAAAGATGCCCCCAACGTGCCACCCCTACTGTGCGAAATGAAGACTCAAATATTGAGCATCCTTGAAGCTCAGGGCATTAATGGCTTTTCTCACTTGTTTACCCAATGCACAAAGCAGAGATAATAGCTTTCTTTTATCATGCAGGGGTGTTATTAATGTGAATTAATAAGAATTTGCGGAGTTCATTTAGATCTTGGGATTAAAAGGCTCATTTCGAGGAGCTGTTACTACATAAAAACAAACACATGCACACAAGCAAGAACATTAATGCATGCAATCATTTGTAATGTGCACTTACATCACTGCTCTCTTCCACTGAGAGCTACACAAACAATTAATTTAGCCAAACAACTCTCTGTGAGGTAAGCAATAGATAATGGTTTTCTTTTATTGAAGGAGAAACACACAGTGTGATGAATATCAAGTTATCAAGTCACTTATCTGGTTCCTGCTTTGATCTCTACTGAACTCCTTTACTCTTAAGCAATACATTTGTAGACATATGTCCTATGAAACACACTAGTTGCCTTTTTTGGATGTAAGGGAGATAGGCAATTAAAATACAAAGGTTTATTTTCCTAAAGGATTAACGAATAGGTGGAGGCATACAGAGTAGGCTAAAAATAGAGTTATATTAATACGGGACATATTTGTGCTCTATGTCAAACAGGAGCCTGGGAGAAGTAATTTTTACCTCTTCATCCTCTACCCATCTGTGGAGGGTTGGCTCTGTTTTATTGCGTTCTCAAAAGTAACCTTGGCTACTGAGTCTGGCTAAAGTGCCTGGTTATCTCCCTTATATCCACAAACATGACCAGATCTTTAACTACTCTTTTAACATAAGCCTTGAAAGCTTCCTTTAAATAGCAGCTGAAGGAAGGCCAATCAAATCAGATGTTTTCTCAGTTCTTCTTATGCTGTATTTAATCCCCACTGCTCCCTCCCTAGCACAGGACTGTTGCCTTTGCTAACCGTGCTGATATATCACTCATTTTCTTGTCGTTAATAGTGCTGCAATGAGTTATTAAAAGGTGGTTAGAAACCAGAGCAGATGAGCTGCTCTGAATTTAGTGTAACCCGAAGCAAGCTATGAGGTATCCCCTGGTTCCTCTGGTGAATGAGCTGACCTTTCCTCTGCTTTTCTTCTGGTTCTGTTTGCCATTTGTAATGCTGTTGATCATCATGATCATCTGGCTACAGCTTCTACTTAATGAAGGTAAGTTTGGCTATTGATCACATAAAATGCTTCTGCATAAAGCATTTATCTATTAGCTTCACCTTTAAAACACTCTGCTAGCTATTTTTAGGTTAATGACACTTGTCACAGAAAGAAACTGAGAGGTTTCTTAGTACTGGTGGTAGTATATGGAAAAGCAAACACAAATTATTATGCTTTTCTGTTAACAATGCTTATAGGAAGACCAGCTGCTGCCTTACCCTTCTATTCCTTAGTCTCTCCCTTTTTCTCAGAGGTAATTTGATTTAAGAAGGGCAAAAGACAAGTACTTTTTGTAGATTTCTATTTAAGAAATCTCCCAGAAAGCAAAGCTAACCCTCTAGTTTTGTGCGCTTTAAATTCCGACATTATAGTTCTCTGGCACCTCTATTTTTGGGAGGTGTGCAGGGTGTTACTGGGGAAGCTGGTAAAGAGTCCTTTTGTCAATGCTGAGGCTGATAGAAAATTTTGAAGGGAGCAAGTCATGCATTTTCATTTATTTGTGTATTTTGCCCTTTTTTTTCCCAATCCATCACTGATTCTTACTTCTAACATGTCAGTAAATGATAACAGGCTTTTGGTTTAGACTAATAATGAGCTTGTCGATGTACTCATGAGGATAAAGCCTTACGACTTTGCTCTAATGCTGGATCATAAGTAATCCTGGATAAGGAATGAATTGTAAGTTCAATATCAGTGATAAAAAAAAAAATCTATTTTGCATAGGCAAAGGGTAGCTCTGCACACATTTCAGTTGAGTGCTCAGGTTTTTGTCTGGACAGAGTAACTCTGGAATCTATTGATGCTTTGAATGAGATTTTTGGGATATTCTTGCTACATTTACTTCCACAATTTCTGGCCCTGTAGCGACTGTTGTTAGCACCAGGCCTCCAACAATTTCCACAAATGCTCTAAATTGCATTTTAATCAGTAAGACTAGACACATTACTAACTTTTTACATACTAGCATACTTACAGAATTACAACATTAAAGCATTTCCCAGTTACTCATAAGACAGAAAGATAACAGTGCCTTTTTAAGTAACTTCCTAGTTCAGTCATATCCACTTATTTTATGCTAGATTACAGCAGGCACAAGTAAAAAGTTATGGACGTTTCAGCTCTTCCTTTAATATAGTTGCTGATTAAGAGTTAATTAGTTGAAATCAAACACTTGTATAAACCTTTTATTGTCTAGTTGGGTTTGGAAATCCTTTATTTCAGCTGAAAAATATTCAGAGGAACCTTGCCCAGCTCACAGGTGGAATGTGCAAGGCTTGCAGCCAGGGAGAAAAAGTCACATACAGCTGTTTTGCATGTTCTTTTTAAACCTATTTCTAGCACAGATGCCCAGCACAGAAAAGATAAAGAAAGAATCTTTTGATGAGCCTGATTCTGACTCTATATTTGAAGATGAGCTAACAGAGGAGGACAACCAGAGTGATGCTTCCAGTACAGAGACACAAGAGGAGTCCCAACCCAGTGACTCTGTGGGGAGGCTGAGGCCCAAGCCTGCTTATCTGAGCTCAAATCCAAAAAGCCAAAAGCAAAGTCTTCTTGCTGTGACCTCAAACAGTTGGTCCCGGAGCCAGAAGATAAGATATTCCCATATTGAAAAGAGCAATTTCTGTAACATCATGATGGTGAGTAGTGTGACCAGGTTGTCTCTTTGCATATCTACTGCTTTTGTGCCTCAGCT